GCTCTTGATAAACGATTACAGGGAAGTGTAGCTGTTTCAGAGGGAAATGACGTTCCTCAGAACGAAAGCGTTGCTTCGAGCGAAGAGGGCAAGCCAGCTGGCCAAGATCGCCTACGAACAAGGTCTGTCGAGGGAGAGGACTACGAAAGCTTGTGCAAAAAGTACAAGGACGAGATCGATGACATCAAGGACGAGATGGAGGCGCTGGCGACGGAGAACGAGCAGCTGCAGCACTTTTTGGAGGAGCAGAAGATTAAGTTATCAACTTTAGAGTCGAAACGGACAGCGGAAGAGAACGAGTCCATCGAGATCGTGGACGACTTGAATAAGAAAATATCAGAGTTGCAGGGTATGCTTAGTAAATCGCGGGAAGAGTATGATCTGTTGAGAAAGCAATACGAACAAAGTCTGATGGATGCTAACGATCAGGTAACAGTTATGCGGCAAAATACCGATTATCTGAAGGAGGAGGCGTTCGAGAAGACTAGTAAATTAGAAACGGAGGTAGCTAATATGCGTAAACAACTTCAGGCAGCCGATACGGACATCCTCGAGTTGCAGAGAAGCTTGCAGGACGCTCTGCAAGAGAAAACAGGCCTAGAAGAAAGACTGACCTCTGTAACGGCCTCATACGAGAATCAATTATCTTCTGTGAACTCGTCGATGTCGGAAGTGACGGTTCTCTTGAACATTAGGATACAAGAAGTGGCGGATCTGAAGCGGAAATATGAGAAAGAATACGTGCGTAATACCGAGGCGAATGCGAAATTGCAGGATACTATACAGGAGCTGAATCAGGAGCTTAACGAGAAGAAGCAACAGCTGGAAGGTTTGAAGAAGTCGTTGACCGACAAGGAGAACGAAGTTATTCAGCAACAGAGCGTGGAAACTGTCAGTGCTCTGGTGAGCGAGGCTACTCAAGAATTGGTGCAAAAGCATGCGATAGAAATCGAGGAGAAGGAAAAGGAAATACGAGTTCTTAACGAAAGGCTGTCTATGTTGGAAACAGCCACGAATGAGTATTTACTGGAGAAACAGAATATTGTCGTTCAGTTTGATACTCAACGCCAGGAGCTGGAACTTTTGAAGCAAAGTCTGATGGAAAAGGAATCGTGTCTGCAATCTGTCGAGGCGGATTTATCGTGGACAAAGGAACAGTTGATCGAAAGAGAGTCAGAGTTAGCCAAGAACAAAGAAAGTGGTCAGAAATTGTCGTTGGAGAATCAGAGGTACATGGAGACTATTGAGGAATTACAGAAGCGTTTAAACGAATCTGTGACCACGTCGATGGATATTGGCGAGTATACGGCACGTATACAGAGTTTAGAGCAACAAATTCGTTACTTGGAGACTTCTCTGACGGAGACTATGGAAATACACGCTCAGGAATCTGCAGAGTACAAGGCAACCATTGAGAATAATAAAGTGGAAATTGGTGATCTTCGCGCAGAGATAGAGAAATTGGAAGATGTCAAAAGTAAATTATCAGAGAAGATCGAGGAGATAAGTAGTTTGAATTCGGAATTGGAAACGACTCGTCAGACTTTGGAGGAGGCTAACCTCAGTTACAACGAGAAGCTGTCTTTGCTAGATACGAACAATCAAATGTTAAACGAGAAACAGACAGAATTCGACAAATTATCAACCGTACAACAGGAACATGTGCAGCAAAGTTCTCTGAATATTATAGACGGTTTGCCTCTCTTTAGAATGGGAGACGACAATCGAAATTTACAGCACACTATAGATACCATGCAGGCTGAATTGGAGAAGAAACAAGTGGAGATCGATCATCTGAAATATATTCTAAACGAGAACACGTATCCTAGTATGATTCAGGAGATGCAGGAGAGAATCAATTGCTTGTACAACGAAAAGGCTGAACTGCACTCTTCGTTGGACGATCTAAATTTAACAGTTGCTCAGAAGGAGAAGGAGATCGACACTTTGAAGCAACATATAGAGGTACAAAGCCGGGAGTTCTGCAAGGAGATGAATCAATTGTCTATGTCTCGAAGGACGATCCAGGATCAGGACCAGATCGTCAGGCTCCAGAACGACTTGCACGCCATGGAACAAGAAATCAGCGAGCTGAAGCATGTTATAGTCGAGAAGGACTCTCAGTTGCATTTTTACACCAACCTGGAGCCTCAGTCGGACGATTTCGAGTTGCGCGAAACGGTGCAGCGATTGACTGCTGAATTACACGGTAAGGAACTGGAGGTTCAGCATTTGAAATCTACTATTAACGAATTGCAGCAAGAGGTGTCCCGTTTGCAAGAATTCGAGAGGCTTTCGGAGGAAACGAGGGACGTTATACAGAGGCTGAGCATGGAGACGGAGCAAGTTCGGCTGGAGGCTGAGGAATTTTTGGAGAAGAAGCTGAAGGAGAAAGAGATGGAGATCGACGAGATAAAGCAGAGGCTGTCGATGGAGAACCGGGGTATCTTGGACGAGTTGAAGTTAAAAGACAGGGACATCGAGAACCTTAAAACTCAGTTGCAACAGTTTTCTACGATGGAGGAGACAATGAAGAGCGAATTGCACAAGAAGGACGAGGAATTTATACGAGTCAGTTCAGACTTGGCTGAGAAGGAACGGAGATTGGCGGAGTTGAGTATCACGAAGGACACGGAGCTTCGCAATTTGAAGGTGCAAATTCACGACAAGGAGGCTCGCATAGAGGAGCTTTTGGCGTTAGTGGACGAGGAAGAGAAACAGTTCACAGAATTGAGAGACACCTTAGAGGCCAGAGAAACGGAGATCAATTCGTTGAAGGAACTTTTAGAGGAGAAAGTGAAGGAGTACGAGTTAATTCAGAATGTTCTGAAGAAAGATGTTCCTGCGATCGACACGTCCGCAGCTGAGAACCTGGAGGCTTCCGGTGAAGATAGCAAGACGAGGGCCTCGCAAGAATTCGATCTTGCTCTGTACATGCTTCATCAACGGGACGTTAGGTGCGAGGAATTGACCCTCGAATTGATGCAGTTACTCGAAGAACGCGACACGTTGCAATTGCGTCTGTCGAACGCGATCAGAGTGAACGAAGAGCTGAGGAAGCTAGGTGGATCGACGGGCTCAGATCTCAGCCCGCAGAAGGACGCGTCCATTTCCGGCACAGAAGAACCAGTAGTGGAACATCCTTCGCCGTCGAAGTCCGAGGGACCAGTCGAAATAGCCAAAGAAGCCATCGACGCTCCGGTTGAGGAACACATGGAGACCCTTGCCCTGAAGTACGTATTACACGTACTTCCTTTATTTCAATTCAAGATGGTTTTTACTCGAGGATGTTATGCACTAGGTACGGTCCACTGGTGAAGAAATACGGTTTCGACGATTTTTTTTTTCCAGAATATTCAAAGCACCAGTATTTTTTTTTCTTTTTTTTTTACATAGGAAGCAGCATTCAGCAATGATCTATTTTGATTTTATTTTCACTTAGAGTGGGAATATATTGTTATCGTGAAATTATTGGGGAGCATAATATTTAGTTCCGTAGACATAACGCGTATTTGCATCTGAACATTATTAGTTTTTTCCCTGAAGAATGATATTATCACAAGATAAAGTAGAATCAACAGCAAATGTAACAGTGTGTTATACACTTGTCGTAGTGTGCCGTTAATGTGAAGAAAGGCTTCGACTATATTGTGCTAATTACACGATTAACGTATTTGTTTAGACCCTATAATTTTGCTTAGCGTGTAGGAGATCCAGGAACGAGATTTCCAAGTTGACCTACCATTTCCTCTGTAGCCCTATATGATTCCCATGTATCGTTCGAAGCTCGGAACCAATTAATCCGAACAAGATACAAATAGTTCCTTCGGAACGTTAATGATTCTAAGGTTTGACAAATAAAACTCTTCCATTTAGATTTTACGTCCCTGTAGTTACGCAATCCTCAGATTGGATAAAATAATCTAAAAAATCGTCTTTTAACGGATTTAGCTTAACACGTTCATGGTTCAACCAGCTTCACAGATATAAGCCGCTTATAAGAGCTTTAGTGTTCGAATGCTGTGATAAACGCGTTTCAGAACGCTTTGCCATCAAAGGAAGAATTAACTTTTCATTTCCTCTGGCCAAGAACGTGTTAAGCCGTGTTTATCAGTAGCACAGTAAGCTCCTTATTTCACTGTACAAGCTAGTTTTCCCTTTAGGCTGTCACAGCTGCACACGGTGAGCCACGCAAAAGACATGCGATTGAGGGATGAACGAGAGTTAAGGCACACACAGCAAATGTCTTTGCTTGCCCACAAAGACGTTCTAAGTACTTTGCCCCCCGAAGCAGCTGCCAGGCTCGTCAATGCAAATTATACACTCTGTATGTATCCTCAGATGAATTCTCAATTTCCATCTTATTTTCCTCTGTTTTAAGTAACGGTACATTATAGGTTATATTTTTTTGTTGGTTTTGTAAGTATTTCTTACGGATTGTACTTTATGCTTGTTAGAAAATATGTTTAGCTTTTGAAACGAAACATTGAAATATGAAAATGTACGTTTTGTAGGGTTCCTTGGAAGTTTTATTGCAAATGTTTTTATTTAATATTCACAGCTAGGGACGTCCAAAGTCAATCGAGCGTCTTGCTGAATTGGTTGTGGGGAAAAAGGTAAATTCTTCAACAACATTAAGATACATATAGGTTTTAGCAAGGAAAAGTAACAGTAAAATTGTTGATTTCATGAGTACTGTTATTTATAGGAAATGTTTATCTTCAGTTTTTATTTTACTTTCTTCTAAAAGAAATAACAAAATCCAGTTACTGTAACAATTATTTATGTTCATCTTTTCCGTTGTACTTTACATTTTGATTCTCAGACTGATTAGAAAAATATTTGAGATTGTTAGACAATGTTGAAATAATGTTTAGCAATGAAGAGCTCTGTTTATCGTTAACACGATGTTTCTACGATTGTAGCACGCCAAAGGTGGTACACATGTGATGGGATACTAACGACGGTGAAGTGAACCACATCCTTGCCTTCTGGATACATTCCTGCCAAGTGCCAACTGCAGCGACTATTCCTGTAATTAAACTAAATCTAACGAGACGAGAACAATTAGAAATATTTTGACTAACTCGTCGACATTCTGTGAGAGCAATTATGGTTGTTGAGATATGATGATTGCGCGTACTACTCAATCCAGGGGAGTAAAGATGTTTGTATTTTTGATGGAACAATTCTGATCGTTGGTAATTCGATGTAACGAGTCGTGCTTCTCTGGGAGGCTTCTAAACAGAAAGTCGCTCCTCTTCGGAGCAGAAGAGAGTGCGGGAGAGATGACTTAATTGTATTATAATCGTTGTATAGCCGTTGTGCTTAGGTGAATTGTAAACGAAACATTGCCTTGGAGAAAAAAAAAGTGTATATTTCAGTTATTTTATTAGTTATGAAATTGTTAATAGCGTAAGATGTTTCTCGGGTATCGATGTTCCGATACTCGACGGAAGTGTATTTGTTCCGATGATTACTCTTTACAGTTCTTGCGAATCGTTCTGTCCAAAATGCGTTTTATGCGAACCGGCTGCTGTTTGTCAGCCGTTTATTCGAAACGAATGTTACTAGGGAAGCGAGAGAATAATATTCGTGTGAGATGTTAACAAGTCACACGACGATCGATACACATGATACTAACTGTATCAGATTTTACTCACCAATGGAAGTGCCGTAATTATTTGTTGCTTTTTAATCGTAATGATTCGAACTTTCTATTTCCATGAAATTTTGTACACAAAGAAGAAAGCGTCGATGAATAAATAAATTGTAAAACTGATGTATTTATTCATGAAAGTGTTTTTTTTTTCCTTTAATTCTAGACATTAGATGAATGGATGTGTGTGCGTGCATGTGTTCTGTTTAATTCTGTCACAGGTGCCGGCAGGTATAATTATTTGCACCAGTCAATGTGAACATTTCGTTGAACCTAAGATCGTGGACTATTTACAAATGTTGCAATCTATTTAATGAATCTTTTTGAAAGTATGACAAACTTGTTATGCACAAGTGATACTTCGAGATTTGGAATTTCTTCCGTCCTACCACTTTGTCATCCTACTAACGATATAATGCTCGTGTATACCGTGTGGAGCACGTTTTGAGTAGGAGGACGGAGAACGAGATTACACGAGGTTGAAATTCTAAAACTTTTACATATTTCTTCAATTTAAAAAAGAAATGGGCATATACTGCATTTCGTCAAATTTTTAGAACAATACAAGTATAGAGAAGATATCAAAACTTTTCTGTTCGTGTACGATTACTGTAATGAATTTTTACAATAATCAAGAGAGGTCCAGACCTCGTGTATCTCGTTCGAAGGTGTCAATTTATTTCTTTATGCTTAAGCGTACCATTTTGTCTTATGTTTTGTATAACTCTAGACATAGGAAATGATTCTTCGTTGCCGTTCGTGGCGTAAGTAACCTCTTCGCGACCATTTTGATTTTCAGAGTTCTCTAAGTCACGCAAACTAGATTTTCTGCACTTCAAAGCGAGCAGCGTTATTGTCCCCACAACGAAAAGACCGAAAATGATAGACATCACCGCGACTGCCGGATCAGAATACGGTTGAAATTCATCAGCATTCGTATAAGCAAGCGCTAATGGATTAGGTTCATTCCAACTAGTCCATGTATTGTTCCAAAGCGATGGATCTGCTCTTGGATCTCCATCGAGATTACTAGGGGGTATCGCGGTGACTCTGTACTTCATCAGAACTCTTTCTAAAATGGCCACAATCACTGGTCTTCTGTCGGCAAGATTCACCATTTCACAGGGATCTTTCTCTATGTTGAAGAGACAGGGTGCTCTCATGGGATCACATGGTACCTGTACATATGAACAGAGAATTATAGAAAAGTTCTTTCTTACTTTAATTTAAATAGTCAACTGATAGAAAAGATAGAATAAAACTTTACAAATTCATTTTAATAAATATAAAGAAATAGTAGAGGTAAATTTTGAAGATTATCTTTCTATAAATAATTACCTCATACAGAAACAATTCTTTTCTTAAATGAAACGAAGGAGAATTGAAGATGCATTTGACAAAGAAATATAACTTCTAATCTATGACATTAATGTAATACAATGTTATAACACTAACCCTGTCCTCCGCTCTAACGTTACATTCTATCTGCGCTTTTTTTCGCAACTCCAAGATCTTTTTTGTGCTCAGTATTTTCTCTTGGAAGTTCGTCTTCGAAACAGTGTCGTCTATATTTCTTACGTTTCTCTTTCTCCGTTCGTTCAATTCCATTGCTTGTCTGGCGGTAATAATGCCGGAAATAGCGACGCCCGTTTTACTGTACAACACTTTGTAAGGATCGTATGTGGGAGAAATGCCCTCTAAAGGGTCTCCACTTGCGCCAACCCAGGCGCTACCAGTTTCTGTCTGACCGATAACGTACTTAAAATCGCCCCGTCTGATAGCAGCGTAATTACTGAGGTCGTCGATGTTGATCACTATTTCGGATCTGGAGCTGATCTTGTCCGACACCAGGGCATGCCAGAGATCGAACCCATCGATGTTTCCAAGTTGCCTCCTATCCACTCCTGAATAACGCACGATTATTTCAGTGAAATCATCTTCTTGCAATATCTCGTGACATTTAAAAATTTTTTACACTCTGTTTTAACATTTTTAAGAAGTTTCTTATCCTAATATTTCTTAATAATTCTAACATTTTAAACAGTTTTAACGTTGAACCTACTAACATCGAGATTATCGAGTTGATTCATTGCTGATATAGATATAAGTAAAAATATAGATTTTTCGTTTTCTAATATAGTAGGGGAAGTTAATTTTACGATTAGGTTGTGAAACATTGTCAGGCAAAAAATTAACCTGCTGCAGATAGGAGTGTAGGTAGCCAATCGGAAACGAACATCATCTGATTCGACACTCTCTTCGATTTCTTGATTAAGGGACTCCAAATAGTCGCCACACCTCTTGTACCTCCCTCCCATGGACTGTCCTTTATCTGCAAAATTCCCAAAGTTCCATCTGTTCAAAGTCTGAGTGTAAGCATTCTGTGAGGAATATAAGAAGGATTTACGCCTCGAAGGGGATAATTGCTGCCCTGATTACTCAGAAAGCCCTCGGTCGGCGCGCCATTATCGCTCATGAACACCACTATACTGTTCTCCATCATGCCGCGATTCCTCAGGGCCTCCATCACTTCGCCGACGCTCTGGTCCAGTTTTGATAAGACGGCTGCAAGTTGGTAAGTTGGAATATTTAAATTCGGTATATTTGTTTAAGATCTTGTTTTGTGAGTCATTTATGGATAATAATCCGAGGTGGTAATTTTAAGAGTCGCATCCTCTATAACAATGGATGAATGAAAACTGGCTTAGAATATTGAGAATATTTAGTTTGTTATCTTTATGAAAATATTGAGTTTAAACATTGAAGTTTCGATATCGTCTGATCATCTGAAAATGTACGTATTAATAATTTTAAATATTAACGTAAATATTGTAAAATAAACCAAATCACGTGTAATGTAAGCAACGTAACATAATTATGATTTTCATAGTAATCAGAACCTGTAGATTGTGATTTGTAAAAGATTTACAAATTGGCCATTTACTGTTATTGTCCTTTAAGGTTTGTATATGATATGGAGATCGTCAATGGG